TTAGTCTGCTCCCTCGGGCCTGTTGACTTTGGCCTCAGTCAGCACAGTACGTCAGGACAGGAAAACAAGGCAAAGGAGACTACTCAAAGTCAGAAGAGGAGAAGCCAGGGTCCCACTGTCTCATCCCCTCAGAGAAACTTCCCACTGACCCACTTCCGTCCACTAGGCTCACTTCTGAAAGTTGCACCACTCCCCAGTGATTCTATAGGCTGCGAACCAAGCCTTCTACATACGTACGTACGTACACACACACACACACACACACACACACACACGTATATATGTATGTACGTACATACGTATGTATGTATGTATGGCATGCCTGGAAGGCACATTCTAGACCCAAACCAAGCCTTCTACATACGTACGTACACACACACACACACACACACACACACACACACGTATATATGTATGTACGTACATACGTATGTATGTATGCATGTATGTATGCATGCATGCATGCCTGAAAGGCACATTCTAGACCCAAACCAAGCCTTCTACATACGTACGTACGTACGTGTACACACACACACACACACACACACACACACACGTATATATGTACGTACATACGTATGTATGTATGTATGCATGCATGCATGCATGCATGCATGCCTGGAAGGCACATTCTAGACCCAAACACTAGCTTCAGCAGATCAGCAACAGTCAGAATTTGCACCCCAGTACCCACCTGCCACCACAGGGCAGGCAGGGCCAGGCAGCCACCCTTTCACAGCCACACTGCTTTCTTTCCGATATTCCACAATGCTGTTATATATTTGGCAGTGTTATCAAAAAAGGCTGGTGCAAAAATTTAAAAAAATGTGTAATTTCCATAATTTAGTTCTCCAAATTCTTGGGATAAAAAAAAAATATTTGAATTTTCTCTGGAATATAAGTTGCATTTTGGATAACAGAGCCGTTATTGATAAGTTTGTGTCATCTGTTCACTTATTTCTGAATTCTTAACTATGCACACAAAAGCCCCAAATGCCCAGGAAACATGGTCTCCCTTAGAAAAATTCATTATCTGCCTCATAAGAAAATTGCTCCATCTGATTCAATGACTCCCATGAGAGTAGGATCACAAAAGGAGGGTGAGGGGCTGACAAGTTTTTTCACTGCTTTTGAGGAAACAACTCTTACTGACTTAAACAGTTTTTCAACAAAACATTTGTTATTCCAAAAGCATTGAAAAAGATTCAATATCCAGTTCTAAGTCCCCTTCCAGTGGACAAATGAAAAGACATTTTTGCCTCCTGGGCCAATAAATGTGACAACTTGGTATTAAGCTGCAAGTAAGAAACTTTATTATGGGCTGTGATGGTTCACATCTTTAATCCCAGCACTCGGGAGAAAGAAGCAGGCAGATCTCTAAATTCAAGGCCAGCTTGATCTACAGAGCAAGTTCCAGAACAACCAGGGCTCTGTAGAGAGACCCTGTCTCAGTAAATAAATAAACCAACAAACCAACAAATAAATAAGTAAATAAATAAATAAATAGCTTTATTGTGGAGAAGGTGAGAATCCAATCTGCAATGCTTTTAATCAAAGCATGAAGCGGGCTTGCCGTCTGATTCTATCTGTCACATGCCTATTGGGTTGCTCTTAAAATTTCATAAACTCTGTTCCCTCTCTCATCAAAGAAAATTGTTATTATTTTGGAATCTTTATCAGTAATGACTAATAATGGCTGTGGCCAGAATTTGCAGGAGACCCTGAATGTGGAGGGGCAAAGATGTGTCCTCAGGGCCTTACAAATCTTCAAGACAGCTGTCCAAACAAACAAGCTGTGGGAGAAGGCAGTCGGAGCAGAGAGCGCTGGAGCCCACAGGCAGAGGTCCCCTCAGTGGGCGAGGTCACTGGGAAGGCTTTCCCTAAAGAAAGCAGAGGGACAAGGGACAGAACACCAGAGAGGACTCTCCGTGGAGTGAGGCTTTGATGACTTCAACAAAGGCAATTGTTGAAAGATACCACCTGGTTTGAGGAAATAAAACTTGTCTGCTAAGTAAGATTTTTTTTTAAAAAAAAAAATCTCACGAAGGATAGATTTGGGAGGTGAGAGTAGAGAAACAAGCTGTGGCTGGAACTGTAGATGTCACAAAGCCAGGCTCGTGTGCACCAAGTGCCAACCAATCAACTTCCTCTCAGTAGCCGTTCAGGAAGCCTTGGTGTAGTGCTTTGTTTGTTCCTTTGGGTTTGGGTGGTGATTTGGTTATTGGCTTTGGTGGTGGTGGTGGTGGTGGTGGTGGTGGTGGTGGTGGTGGTGGTGGTGGTTTGGTAATTGGTTTTGGTGGTGGTGGTTTGGTTGCTGGTTTTGGTGGTGGTGGTAGTGGTGGTTTAGTTATTGGTTTTGGTGGTGGTGGTGGTGGTGGTGGTGGTGGTGGTGGTGGTGGTGGTGGTTTAGTTATTGGTTTTGGTGGTGGTGGTGGTTTGGTTATTGGTTTTGGTGGTGGTGGTAGTGGTTTGGTTATTTTCTTTCTCAGAGGCTTTATTTGAAGTCCTGGGCATTTGAACTTAATATGGTCAGCAACTGGGGAAAACAGAAGGGTTTGCAAGTTGTCTGGCTGCAACTGAAGAACAGAATTAGAATTTCAAAGCTGTAATCACACAATAGAGCAGCGTCACAATTATGACATGAGTGAATAAAAGAAACTGTCATTAGATACATTCCTTGCCCACCTGAGGCAGTGGCACAGTTCTAGTTTGAAGCTGGTGTTTTTACTAAAACAACCTCTCTCCCTCCCTCCCTCCCCCCCCCCACCGAGACAAGGTCTCTCATGTAATTCAGGCTGGCCTCAAACTTTATGTAACTGAGAGTGGCCTTGAACTCCTAATATTCCTGCCTCTACTTCCCAAGTGACAGGATTACATGCCACCTGTAGAATTTTCAATCTACCCTTTTAACTGGTCACTTCTGATCTTTCACGAATTACACAGTGGATTGGGCAACTGGTATTTTTGGTGTGAAAATCACTTATTTGATTGCTGGAGCCTTGGTTTACTGCCTTGCCATTGTCCCATCGAGCTTTCAGTGGGTATTCAGAGAGAGGGCCATATTGTTATGACAAGCCATTCCCTCCAGCCTTTGTAAGCATAACTAGTCCACCTTGAGGTAAGAGTCATCATTACCTGAATTCCTCCGGTGATGCTCTACTTCCCCACACTGTCAAAGAGAAGATTAAAATGTTAACCTGATTTTCAATGAAACACAAACATTCATGTCACAGGCCAATGAACTTGAGCTGTGTGTGGCCCTTAGTTGATGGGAGGACTGGCTGCCACAGGGACAGGGACAGGGACCAGGGCCATCTACTACTTTCACAGAGAAGAGAATGAACTCCACAAGAACACCAGCATCTTCATTTGAAGTTGATCCTATGGAACTGGCTTAGATGAGCCTGCATGCAAGGATCTGAGGCCCCTCCACACCCCATTAGTGAGACCCCCGTCTTGGAAAGAAGAAATGACAGGGATAGAAAAGTGAAAGGTGGATATTTACTGAAAAGATGTTTCCCTCACATTGACCATTTTTAAAATCAAAGATATTTTCAAACCAAAGGAGTCTGAGATGATTTAACTAGGAGAGTATTTTTCACCCAGTGGAACAAGAACAGATCCACGACAGAAAAGAAAGATGTATATTTTCTTTGCACATCTAATTAATAACATAAAATTTTCTTTTGTTTCCCGGGGGAGAATGCAAGCACAGTCCCCCATGACCCCGAATTATGCAGCCGAGTTTCCAGAATTTGGGGGAAATCACGGTGGTCGGCTCATCCTGAGTGCGATGGATGCAGCTCACCCTGGAAAAACCACCTTTGTTGCCATGGTCTCTCCCCTTCCAAGGTGTCTATAATAAACTAAGTTTCCAAGCCCCATTCACACTTACTTCACAGGAAAAATAAGTTGCAGAGACCTTGTGAGCACTCCCCCAGAAAAGGAAGAGATTGATCAAGAATAAGATAAACACCAAGACTGGGAACAACTGCCCAGATGTTAGGACAGATTTCAGGGAAGATAAGAAGACGCTGTCACTGTGACCACACCCTCCCATATGAAACATCATGGCACACTGGACACCTCTCCTACTGTATTCCTTATGGAGAGCTTTCCTGTGACCCCCAAGTCCATCATGCTTCCCTCCTGAACATCCCTCCTGTCTGTGATTTTAATTGGTCATTCCTTCCTCATCGGGCACCTCTTCAGAGCACAGTCACTCTGCTTACAAAACAACTACATGTTCTGAGTGTCTCCCAGATGGCTTCCTTGGGCCAACCCATTGCCATAAAAGGACTTTCTGATAGCGCATGGTTAGGACACCATGTAACGGCTTTCGGGGAAGCGATCGGGATCTGGCAGGGAAGCTTGTACCAGTTTCAGCAGAGAGCCCCAGGGCCTGCAGTGACTGTATGAGCCTTGGCTCCCTAGTTCTCAAGCCACAGAAGCACCATTTATGGAAAAGGAAATGGAGCAAATGAGCCAGAAGGACAGTGAGGTCAGGTTTATGAGCTCAGCTCTGAGGACAGTGGCCAGGGTGTTCAACTCCCCGGCAGTCCCAGCACACACCTCTGAGGCCAGCTGAGAACTGAAAATAGCACTTCACTGTGTGTGTGCTATGGGCTACAACTTCTGCATCTGAACCTTCCTTCTATTCAGGCATAACTTCTAGAGTCACCACCCCTGAAACTCACTCCCACCCTCTCCAGAGTACACTTATGTCCTACTGAGGACTCTGTGTGACCATGACCCTGAGGATCTACAGCTATGGAACCTTCTGTTCTCTGCCAAAATTCCGTCTGGTCTCTCTAGTAAGCAACAGTAGATCTGGAGATCACAGGGGATACCCATGTACAGTTATGTGCCTCCCAGTGTGAGTGTCTACTGCCCCACTGCCGCTAAGTGTTAGGATGGGAAAGAAGAGCTGGAAGAGGAGAGACAGGAGGAGGAGGAGGAGGAGGAGGAGGAGGAGGAGAAGAAGAAGAAGAAGAAAAAGAAGAAGAAGAAGAAGAAGAAGAAGAAGAAGAAGAAGAAGAAGAAGAAGAAGAAGAAGAAGAAGAAGAGTGAAAAGAAGAAAAAAGCAGGGGCCAGTAAATCAGAATGAAGGACAGATGAAGAAAGATCCCAGTGACAGTTTCCAGACCCCAGCCTACAGTCAATGGCAGTCCTAACTTCAGTTGTTGCCTCCTTGGTCCTCATGGTGCAGTGGTGAATGTCTCTAACTCCAAACACTGCATCTCAGTGTGAATGCTGGGGAGCCACTCAGAGACAACTGGGACTTGCTCCCTTCTGCATCTCTGAGGCCTAGCACTGTGGTCCCCACTGCCCTGGACAACAGACACATTATGTAACCGGTCACGGAAGGGAACATGCGCACTCCCAACAGGTGCATTCTGAGTCCAGCCAGTGAGATGCTTCTATACGGGACATGACCCCACCCAAGCCCTCCACCTGCCCCAGCCTTCTTCCCCTGATCCTTGGTGGGTTGTGGCAGGGCATTCTTGCAACAAGAGGTGGATCTGCTCAGAGGCTTTTTCCACTGGGAGCTCTTTCTGAGCCAGCATCCCCGTATTTATTTAAAGACCACTGGTGAGACAAGAGCCTCTCTTCATTTTCCAGATGCTTCTCTTCCCCTTCTTACATCATCTGCTGGTTCCCTTGCTTTTAAAGGGAAGCTGTGTCCAGGGTCATTCATAGACTGAGGCATCCCAGCATTCTCTTGGAAAATGGAAGTATTGCTCCAAAGTAGATCCTCACGCCAGGGATTTCTGACACCAAGGCTATGACCTTAATGTCTGATGAGCAGACTTGTCATCAACGGCTGGCTTTTCTCAGTCTCTGTCAAATGTCCCCAAAGCTCTCTTTTTTGAGTCTTCCGGGTGCAGTGAAGGGACGGGGTCTTCCTGGAAGCTCTCTGTCCTCACAGCTCTTTCCAGCTCTCCCTCCCCCCTGGCACTTAGCTCACCGTCAAAGACCCGCTGGCACTTTGAGGAACCTTACTACTCAAATCTCAGATGGTGGTTTCCAGACTAACCACTCGAGAGATGCTCGTAAGGAACCTGACTCCCTGTAGACCTGCTGAATTTGAATTTGCAGTTCACTCAACAAGACTCCAGGATAGGACTACACTGACTCAAGTTTGGGAAATGCTCCTTTAGTAGAGTGGTTGCTGGCTTCATCATAAGTGGAATCACTAAGTGAATTTAGGGAAAACAACAATAACAACAACCATTCAAGTTGTCTCCCCGAATTCTGATTGAATCAGCATGGGTGTGCCCCAGGCATCAAGGGGCTTAAAGGGTCCCCAAATGGTGCTACTGGGAAGAATGGCTTAAGAATCTGTACTTTGGCTCTTCTGATTATTCATGTAATATCTAGTTATTGAACAAAACAATAATGAACACTCGTTATAATCTATTAAGTCTGGATAGATTTTAAATCAATCAGTGTTGAACATAGAATTTAGGTATGGCATTTTCTGTAGAGGTGAGGGGTCTGAGGAAGAAAGTTGCAGACCCAGGCACATCCAGGAACTGACATATTTTCAGCCTAACCTGGTGTGCCACCAAAAGGCAGAGAAAGGACTCATCCTCAAATGGAGGGAGAATCAGGCAAATGACTAGCCTTGTAATGCACACCCCTATCCCTAGTTGAGATCTAAAGTTTCTCGCAGGAGGTACTCAGGTCTTTCCTTCCCGTGGATGCAGGCCCAGTAGATGATGCAGTTTGGATGGAAGACATCAAGCTCTAATCACATGAGCATGAGCCCACGCTTGACCCACTCCAATAATGACAACATCATTGGCAGAGGCAAGGGTAGCCATCCACCATCTATGGAGGAATAATTGCAGGGAAGTTTGCCAAAGGGACTCTGCTTATATGACAAATGAATCCAAAGAGGATGAGAACACCCAGCTCAGGACTCTCAGAATATGAGGCCATTTCCAGGTTAAGGGATTACTCTAATTTCTCAAGGAATGTGCTTCTGACTAGGGTTTTCTCAGCCTTAACCCAAGGGTTCTTGGCTTTCCGTGAAAAATTAGCTTACTTTATCATCTGTCGTGGTTTGAATGTGAAAAGTTCCCCCACAGGCTCATATGTTTGAACAATTGGCCCCCAGCTGGGGGCGCTATTTTGGAAGACTGTAAAACCTTCCAGAGGCAGAGCCTTGCAGGAGGAGACAGGGATGGGTGGCTTGAGACTGTCGACCAGCCCCACTTCCTATCCATTCTATTTGCTGATTGTGGATGAAGTATAACCAGCTGCCTCACATGCCTGCTACTATGTTTTCCCTCCTATTATGGACTTCCTCTCAAATTATAAGCCAAAAAAATCTTTCTCCCTTAAGTTACCTCTAATCAAGTATTAGTCATAGCAAAAAGAAAATTAAAAGTACCATCTAAAATATCTTCATTTATGAAGAGATTTGACATCTCCAAAATAAGGATTCTCAGGAACTGATAGAAATAGATTTAATTCCCTTTGCTTTTTGCAAAATATGGATTCTCATCCACCAGGTACACTTAGGTAGATGAAATGCCACCTATATAAGTCACCTCCTGACCCAGGCCTCTGTGTTGACCCAGACCTTAAATAGAGAGAGTCAATTTCAACATTCTCTAAGGGACATCTTCCTAATTAAATGCTCTACAGTGCTATCCAAAAGTGAGGGTTTTAATTTCAAAACCTGGAAGTAACTTCTACAATCCTAAACTTTAATGGCATGGTTCCTTATAATCAGAACCTGATTGGCATGCCCACAGAGTAGAAATGTGCAGAAAATTCCAGGGAGGGCTAAAAAGGGAACTGTGCAGACTGATGAGCTATGCTCTGCACTGATTTGGTGGTTTTGATCCATTCCATTCCACTAAGCGTCAAAGATAAATGAGCCCTATGAGCCAGGCTCAGAGATGACCACTTCTCTGTCTGATTCTTCTCTTCTCACTCCCCCTGCCTTTGCTGGTTTCTCTGTCCCCCTCCATCTAGAGTGACAGGATACCTGGTCTTTGCCCTTCTTCTCTTCTTTATATCCACTCAGAAGGCATCTCACCAGCCTCCAGTCTAGTTGACTTTTAAACCACTGCTGACTGGCTGATGGTGGAGCTCAGTGGTCCTGGTATGCGAAAGGCTGGGTTTGACTCCTAGCATGGGAAGAAATTATTAATTAATTAAAATATTGCTGATGACCATTCCATCCCCAATGCCAGCCTCTCACCTCTCTGCTGGATGCCAAATGAGCCTGAATGACCCAAGATCTTCATGATGAAGAGCCCTGCTTTTCTGGTGTACTGGAGGACAGACTTCTTGAGGCATGCTTGTCAAAGTTTTGTCTGCAGAGGAACATAGATATTACTGCTTACTTAACAGATGTGTTTTTCAATAGGAAGTGAATGAGGAGCAACATAATCCTCTATAGGTAGCTAGTTTTGTCTACATCCACTCACTCTGTATCTCACTTTATCCATAGAAAGATTGTGTCCAGGAACACAAAGGACCTGTCCTTTTTGAAGACCTTGCATATCTTTGACTCAGCATTACTAGAGAATAGAGTAGGACCCCTGCTTTTGTCTTAGATGAGGGAGCAAACGCAACAGAGAAGGCATAGTTCTGTGCTGGCTAATGAATCAAAAGCCCATTAATAGAGAGCAATATATATTGATGTGTTAGTAACATGAGCTACAGAGCCAAGATCATACATGGCCTTCTCAAGGACATTTGTCACAGACTTCAAACCCTCGTCTCTAAGGGCCCAGGTGTTCTGGAGTACATGGGACAGACATCCCATGTGGAAAATCCAGGGCTTCCCAGCCTCTGAGCTCCTTCACCATCGGCGGCCCTCCAACCCCACAGGCATGACTGTCCTTACTTGCCTGAGCAAATACACTGTCTGCCTTATAACTGACAACATTCAGAAAATAAATATGTGGGTGAGCACAAAGCAAAGAGCTTGCTTCTCTAGGAACAATTTCTCAAAAGTCCCTTTTAAGGGACACATGAGGGAGGGGCCCACAGGCTGCAGAAACTAGCTTTGGATTTTCTAACCAGCCTCACGATGCCCCCAAGCTAACATTTAGAAGTGGGTTTCTCGAACTGCAATTTCTACCAGGATGAACAGGCTTCCTAATTCCCACTAGCCTGCCAAGCTTCACTCTACACAAAGGTGAGGAACAACCAAGGCATTGAGACACGTGCTCCCCCAGCTGATGGATGAGCCATGTCTGCCCACGCGGGCCGCATTATTATCAGCAAGAACTAACAATGGTGCCTGTTCTTTCTCCCAACAACACTGAGTTGCTTCTCCACCTCTGACCTGGAGGCTGAGCCAAATTCCAGTAGAAATCCCAGGAGAAGCCCTGGCTTTCCTTGCCTCCTGCTGCAAGTTAGCATGATCCAGTCAGAATGGAAAGGTTACAAAACCTTTTCATTGAGACTACCTTTATAAAACCCACCTTTGTTATTATATCTACACTCAAAAATCACAGAACCAAGAATGGTTCATGAAAAGCTATTAACATTTTTTCTATAGTAATTGTTGAGGGCAGGCATTTATTGCTATTATTCATCTTCTCCATGTTCAGTCTCCCTGAGGCTGCATTTCCAGATCCCCTCTCTTCCATTTAGAAAAGAACACAGGCAACTTCTCTAGTGACTGGACCTGCAGAAACCTCACCCCACTTTCAGTTCCCCTCTTGAACATCTCAGGGCAGGGGGAAAACAGAGACCAAAGCTTTCCCACTTAGTGTGGCTTTGGGTACCTCTGGGGGCAGCGGACCTATATTACAGCATAAGGTGAGTCCTTTCAATGTGACTGAGGAAAAAGTGAAGGACCAGATGGAAGAGAAGAGAGTAGCAGAGGGCCTCCAGGATGAGGGGCCCTCCTGACAGGAAGGAACAGGAAGTCTGTGGTGCCACAGTGAGGGTAATGGTTCAACAACTAAAGAATAGAGTGAACCAGAGGGGCAGAGACTTACAGTCAGACAATGCTAGCATTCCACTTCAATGGGCCCAGGTCAAGACCTGAATGAGTCTTCACTCCCTCCTCACCGTTTTCACAGTTTGCTCTAATTTCAGCAGATTCTGGATCAGCATTTGAAGAGTCCTGACATGGGATGAGGAGGGTTAGAACACTGGCTAATTTGTAGAGTACGTGTGCCCTGTCAGTCCAGAAAACAAATCCAAGGTCAGAGTCCAGAAGAACGGCTGCAATCATGTTCACAGTTGCAAGTTTGGTCTGGAGGTCCAAAAGTCAGTACTGGTCCAAAATGAACCAGTGAACATGGTGATCTGAAAGCCAGTCTGGCAGGTGGCAGATGGTACACATAAGAAAAAGATGGAGGTCCTGTACCATGGCCCTGCCTCATCCAGTAACAGTGGGCATCCCTTGGGAGTGTGGGTTCTGTACAGATATATGTCTGTCTTCTTCCTCAGAAGCTGTGGAAAGCAGAGGCATTACAAGGAAGCTATTGCTAGTTGCTCATCTTATTCCATCATTCATGATCCCAGGTTCTATAACAGAATCTCAAGATGGCACAGTTCAGTTGTCAGGGAGCTCACTAAGAGATAGACCTAACAAATAAAACAATTAGAAAAAACAACTGGTTGTTGAAGCTGTAATGTTGGCTATCAAGAGCTGAACACTGTCCAGAGCACAAAAGGATCTTATGGGACCAGAAGGAGATCATAGACCACATACAGAGTCTGGACTAAGTCATCTTCAAGGTCTTCATCCTCCTTCATACTCGACCCCTTTTCTCGCAGGCCTGACTCTGTCCTGTATGATCCACACCATCTGAAAACAGGCCTCAGCATCAGTTCTCCTCACAGGAAGCGCCTTTGAGACCCACAGTCAACCTCCTTCTCGGGTTCTACACCTCTCAGCCTCTGGGTCTCTCTGCCCTGCTGCGATCTTGCCACATCCTTAACCTGGCACCTGGTAGAGCTCCAGTTTCACCTGCTGCTCCCTGTATCCACTCTCGGCACGATTAGGATTTTCAAACTCCCTCTAGCCCAATAGCTGCTCCAGCACTGGATTGGCAAATACGTTCTTTCTCAAGCCTGTTCTAACCTTTGCATTTTGGTGTCTTAGCAGAGCCTCCACGGGCTGCATGCAGCTGCTTGGGATTTTGCCAGCCCCAGAAGAAGATGCATACCCGCTTTATCTTAGCTGTTTTTCTGTTGCTGTGACAAAAATACCCCAACAAAAGCGACACACGGGGAATAGTTTCTTTTGGCTTGCAGTCCAAGAGGGATACAGTCCGTCATGACAGGAAGCCATGGTCGCAGCAGCAGGGGCAGCTTGTCACACTGCACCACAGTCCAGAAGCAGAGAGTCAATAAGAAGTGGGACGGGGCTATAAAAACCTCCAGCCTCAGCCTCACAATCCTCCACCTTCTAAAGATCTTGCATTCCCAGTGTGACCGGCTAGAAGCCAAATGTTCAAACATATTGGCCTAGGGGGAACATTTCACGTTCAAAACACACCACCAATGGAGGGAGGAAATGATGGAGTAGATACGGAGGGGGAAAGGACAGATGTTGGGTAAGGAGCAGTAACCAGAGGGAGAACTCACATTCTGAGATCTCTGATAAGCATTTCCTAACTTCAGGTGCTGTTGGGAAGTTAGAGGTCATTTTTTTTTTTCTAAGCTCAGATGAAGACAGTCTTTGGCTTGAAGTACTTTGCGATCACAGTCTTCCACATTCCAGGAGAACCATGTAGGCACAGCGAGGCTGAGGTGTGACTGACAGTGAAGTATGGAAGAGACTGACATTAATAAAGCCAGAAGTTCAGACCGTGAATTTCTGGAGCCACCTTATTGCCCAGCTTCATTTGTAATTTCAGAGATTCAGAAGCAGTGGGAACCATGAACTCCAGGTGATTCCCAGATGGCTTTTTAATCAAGGGAAAATTCCTCTGTCTCGCTCTGTGTGTCTCTGACACATACATACACACACACACACACACACACACACACACACACACACACACACACACACACACACACACACGTACATGTCTGTACCAGGCTTTTTCTTTGGGGCCACCAACCAGCTCCCAAATCATGACACAGAGACTTAGTTATGAATGCTCGGCCTGGCTTAGGGTCGTTTCTGGCTGGCTCTTTTATCTTAATTTGTTTCTCTTTATCTACCATTTGCCTCAGGCTTCCTTCTTTTTTACCTTTCTTCCTTCTGTATATCTTACTTTCACTGCTTCTCAAGTCTGGCTGGCCCCAGACATATCCCTCTCCTTCTCCTCAGTCTCTTTCTTCCTTTCTCTAGGGCCTAGGTTTCTCCTCCTATTTATTCTCTCTGCCCAGCAGCCCGGCCTATCCCTTTCCTGCCTAGCTATTGGCTATGCAGCTTTTTATTAGACCAATCAGGTGCCTTAAGCAGAAAGGTGAAACAGATGTAATATATCTTTACATAATTAAACACACATCCTCACATCGTTAAACAAATGCAGCGTAAACAAATGTAACACAGCTTTACATAGTTAAAATAATATTCCACAACACATGTCCTTAAAACTGTCTAAAATCAAGGACAGTTCCCTATTATTGTTCCATGATGCCTGAAGAACACTCTGCACAGCAAGGACCTTCATAAACTGTGTTAACGAGAGAAATTTCAAAGTCAAAAGATTTGCTAATGATGAGAATCTGAGCCATATACAAATACAAACATTTTCGAGGTCCCTCCCAGGGGTGTAGTCTCAGAGGTTCCCAACTACCTCTTCACTGGCAAGCTCCAATCAGTCAAACAAAGGACTGTATCAAGTACTGTACCTCCTGCATGCACTTTCTTACTGACTGTACGTAATGAAGAACATGGATGGTTAACTGGCAGTCACTGCCAATGTGCTGCCCCTGGAGGTGCAGAAATCTATGGCTTGACTGGAGAAGATGGGGACAACAGTAAGGCAGACAAAAGCATACCCAAGAACTATGTCAGGTGTGCACAGGTGGCTGGGCTGTGCAGAGCACCTGTTGCTCTTGCAGAGGACCTAGATTTGGTTCCCAGCACCCACATGGCAGCTCACAGCTGTGTGCAAATCCAGTTTCAGGGGATCTGACACCCTCTTCTGGCCTCTATGGGCACTGCACCCACATGGTGGCAAAACACTCAAAAACATAAAATCGAATAAATAAATCTTTATTAAAAAATTAAAAATTATGTATTTTCTCCTACTCTATCAAACTGTAGAAAAGCCAATCTTCCATCTCCTAGAGACTCCCATTGATAAAAATTTTCAGAAAGTGTCATTCTGGGACTCCCACTATTTGCTTCAAATTTCATAGGTCAGACACAAGTGGGTCCCCTCTTCCTCATCTCCTCCTTGTGGTCTCTTCATCACTGGGTATCAGCAAAGACTTCTAAGTTCATAGGTCTGTGGACCCACTCTTCCTTGGAAAGAGCGTGGGCGATCTCAGGAGACATTTTTCACCAGGGTTTGCCCAGGATTTTGGCTAGTCTCACTGCATTCCAGATTCTAGGGCTCAGCTGAAAGCTTATGTGAACAGAAATCCTTCTAAGCAGGGGAGAACCAAGATCCTCAATCTAAAATATTATTGTCTTCCTTGGTAAACAGATAGGTTATCCTTTGTAAACAGACTGAAAGATATACGGGAGGGAATAATGAGCTGAAAGGTCATTCTTCAGATTCCCTAATGGTTGTAGTCTGTAATAAATGTGTGGGAATGAGACATAACCTTTCCCCCAGAGAAAAACGTCTGCCATTTTCACCAACCAGATGTGATCCGTTCTCCAAGAAAGAGTTTCCTTATCTTACAAAAGGCCACAAGGACAAGCATAAAGGACCAGGGAAAGGACTGTATTTTTGAGCTGAATGGCCACCAAACACTACAAAGAATAAATTTGAGTGTTCCCAACAGAAGGCAAACCCTTCGGCAGTTCATAGGGAACGGCCCCTCAGAAATGTGTGACCTTCGCTGCACTTCATGTGCGGTGTTAACACGGAGCCTGAAAGATGTGCATCTCTTCCTGTTTTGTTTTAAGACCAGGCTCAGGACACAGGGTCCAGCTTCGCTTCTGGCTTTTGAGTTGTCCTCACTCTGCCCTCAGAGGTCTGCCGCCAGCGGAGCCAGACAGAAATATTCTCCAAGCCCAAGAATGCCCAGGAACCAACAAACCTAGGTGGTTCCTAAGCTTATTTCCTGTGTTCAGATTCTGGAGTGGAATCCCAGGTTGGCCTGGCTACAAAGGCTGGAAGGTAAGAAAGGTGAAAAAATTCTGGAAAATGTTTCCAAGTTTTCTGTTTACTGGGTAGACAACAAGCCAATAGCCATTTGGAGGAGCTGGCCGGCTGGCGGCTGTTTTCCGTAAGTTTCCAAAGAGCAGTGTCTGGCCTAAGGGAGGGAGATTTGAGGTGTGGAATAAGAAGGGAGAAAAGTAAAAGGTGATTTATTGGTGCCCTTGGCAATTTAAAGCTGGAGTGCATGACAAAGCCAAAGCCATCCGCTACTGTAGTTGGAAATTAGCCAAGAAGAAGGTCAGAGCTGTGAAGGATGGAGATGTCATTTGAGAAGCAAACTGAAGGTACAGGTATAGGTTCTGAGAAACCGACCCAGCAACCTGCCAGGACAGAACGAGAGAGAGTGGAGAGAGAGAGAGAGAGAGAGAGAGAGAGAGAGAGAGAGAGAGAGAGAGAGAGAGAGAATGAATATGGCAGTGGTTGTATCATGAGAGGAGAAGATTTAAGGGGCAGAGGAAGGCCTCTTTCCTAATTTGTTAGGGAGGAGGAAGAACAATGTCTACAGTAGATACAATGGCATGTCTGGGAACAGGAAGGTCAACCTGTTAGAATGGCAAAGGGGACCAGAGGTGTGACAATGCTGAATCAAAGTACCTGGCCTAAGTGTGGAAGAGGAGGCAAATCTTTTACTTTCTCTTAATTCCCAAAAATTCACAATCAGTCAGGGCCTCATGTTTTACAAGTCTTCTGGGAGAAAATGTGTGGACCACTGAATGTGAGGATGCCCTGCAGGTCCCAGATGTGAGGATGCCCTGCAGGCCCCAGATGTGAGGATGCCCTGCAGGCCCCAGATGTGAGGATGCCATACAGGCCCCAGATGTGAGGATGCCATGCAGGCCCCAGATGTGAGGATGCCATGCAGGCCCCAGATGTGAGGATGCCCTGCAGGCCCCAGATGTGAGGATGCCCTGCAGGCCCCAGATGTGAGGATGCCCTGCAGGCCCCAGAAGAGCTTGAGATGGGGATAAGATCTGAATCACACAGGCTCATGGCCCTTTTATAATCAATGAAGAGGTGAGCAGGATTTAGCCAAATACCATTGTCCACCAGCGAAAGATGCATTCATGTGTCTCTCAGCAATGTAATAAAGGATGCCGACTTTGGAGATAAAGAAGCAGAACTCCCTTTTTGTGTATGTAAAGAAAACAGCAGCACCAAGCCTGCTGATGGAGTAAAGTCAGTGCCAAGGGTTTGGCATGGCAGTACCGAGATCGCAGTTGGTGGTCTTTACAGTTTTCTTTCTTCCCTTCCCTCTTTCATTCTCAGAGAGAGAATACTGGGGAAAAGAGTCTGGGTAAAGGGTTGGGGATAAGTGGTGGCTTTGCTTATTGATTTTTCCTATAGAAGTTTGTAAGTAATGAGTGAGGGGGATAGAGAGGAGAAGCCGAAGACTGGATACACAGAATTCAAACAAGTTTTTAACTTTGTGTGTGTGTGTGTGTGTGTGTGTGTGTGTGTGTGTGTGTGCTCTTCTGGGCATCAAACCCAAGGCCTAGCACTTGCTAGGCAAGCACTCTACCACTGAGCGTCCCCAGCCCAAGTTTTCCATTTCTGTGTTTTACATTTCAGGCACTAAATTTATG